AAAAAAATAACATTCTTTCAAAACAAAACACAGAAGTTTGTAGAAACTTTAAATCAAGCTTGAACCATGGGCTGTAGCTAGTGCACCATAATACAGTCAGTGATTACCGTACTCAACAGGAGATCTAATGTACAACATGTAGTTGTAGAGGATTGATTATAGACCATAGTCAATCACTCATATAATCATGGTTTTTTTTTCGTTGCCTCATAACTGACGATACCTTGTATATATTGCAACATTTTGAGAGCTAATAAATTGTTCTGGATCAGTAAAGTTTATTGAGACAGATACAAAGCTATGCTCGACATGCCCAGATTTGTCATAACACATAAGGATGTCATTATTTTGTCTCCATGGAGATTATATTTGATTGATGCATCACTTAATCTTCTGCTGTAACAATTAAAGAAGCGGCCATTATTGTTGTCAGGTAACCATGGTAGTGTGTACATAATCACCACGGTGATGTCAGTCACATCGCGTGAGTCCAGACCTGTTGATGATGGGGTGATCGTGCCATTTTGTAGACATTGATCAACAACGGACTTAAATAGACTGATGTGTTGTAATAACCATCTTTTTCTTTCTATGATCATCGATGTGTGCAAGACTTCGACTGGGATGTCAACAAATTAAACTAAGAGGCCCTAATATAACTATTTAATGGAAGAGATTGCCTGATACAATTATATATGTACTTATAAACTTATATATACTTCGGTTGAATACTGTAGAAATTGTTACCAATTGATGTTTATAATGGGAGTTGTGACATGCAATACAAATATTTTAAATACCCAGTACTATGGACATTTTTTTATTCTTTCATTTGAATATGTGTATACGGTTATATAATTACAAAATCTAAATACAGTATAGTCACATAATACTGCACTCATACTGTCGGAAAAGTATTAATTAAAGTAAATACACACAAGGAAAAAAAAGACTATTGGCTAATATTTATAGACAAGTAACACAATAAAATAGTGTAGAATTTAAATTAGCATTATTCGAAGAATTTATTTTACATTGCATGTTAATTAAATTAAAATAGCATACATATGATCTTGCAAATGATAGTCAAGTGTATTCTGTATTTCCCAAAAAATCTAAAGGAAGAATTAATAGATTTTTTTTTATTACATTGTGTAACATGGATTCTATTTATTTGAATTATAAAGCACTGGAAATTGAATTGATTTTGATTTAGTTACAGGTACATATATTTTGATTTAGTTACATGTACATATATTTTGATTTAGTTACAGGTACATATATTTTGATTTAGTTACATGTACATATATTTTGATTTAGTTACAGGTACATATATTTTGATTTAGTTACATGTACATATATTTTGATTTAGTTACAGGTACATATATTTTGATTTAGTTACATGTACATATATTTTGATTTAGTTACAGGTACATATATTTTGATTTAGTTACATGTACATATATTTTGATTTAGTTACAGGTACATATATTTTGATTTAGTTACATGTACATATATTTTGATTTAGTTACAGGTACATATATTTTGATTTAGTTACATGTACATATATTTTGATTTAGTTACAGGTACATATATTTTGATTTAGTTACAT